AATATTATGTGTTTCTCAGGCATATATTTAAATTCTATACCATAATAAAGTAACTGTCATCTTCAGTTGTAATTAAAATGCTGTTAATAGAAATTCAAGGTATTTAGAAACAGATATGAGAAGTTAAGTTTAATTTCTATTAACAGCATTTTTTGGCCTCTGTCACTTAAGAACTTTCTTCCGCTTCTGTCCCGCCCATTTCAGCACGGGGCTGGGTGTGTGCTCTGTAATGAGGAAGCTCGGTTCAGAGACACAGCCCAGAGGAGGAGATGGTCCCAAAAGGTGGTTTTAGTCCCAACTGGTCGTTTTTGCTCCCCTGCCTGGCTGCCTCAGGACGCTACAGGATTTCTCAAACATGCATGAATGAGTCAAAGCAAGACTCTGGGCATGTTTTGATGAGAAGATAACATTATAATACGATATAAAGCTAAAAAAAAAAGTTGATTTTACATGATATTGCCCCTTTTAAAGAGAGGAGAAAGATGACAGAACTGGACCAGAACCTGAATTACTGAATTGAGCTGACATTTCTCTGGACTCTTGATTTCCTGACGGTTCACACATGAGTTTCAGATTTATTTTGTTTCCAATATTGGTTTTTGTTATTTTTGAAGGAACAGGACATTGATCGCACTTGCCAGTCCAGTGGTTCCTTCTGTGTGCAAACTGAGTGTAACACACACACACACACACACACACACACACACACACACACACACACACACACACACACAGACCAAATCAATTTCAAACTGCACTGAATTCCATCTTCTTCTCCTCCATACAGTTTGTGGATTCTGACCGAAACCCCAGAAAGTACTCAACTTTCTTTCAGTGCTTTCTCTCTCTCTTTTTTTTCTTTCTTTCTTTTTTTTTTTAAGATAATCTCAAAAGGCTACAGTCTGGTGTTCTCAGGCTTTAAAAGGAGCCTCATTTTGGAGCAGGGGGTCACACTGAGCTCAGAACACCGACGGGTTCAGCAAAGTCAACCTGAACCATAATCATAGCAGACTCCAGCGCCGTGTTTCCTGGGATCACGGTCTGATGTCACCCTGACTCCTTCTCAGTGACTTTTTGTAGGAGTTAGAAATTATCTTGCTTCTTTGACATCCTAACAGCTCTGTGGCTTTACAGCAGTTTAAAAAAAAAAGAAAAGAAAAAACGTGTGTGCAGTTATTTCTTTGACCCAAACGGTTTCCTGTTACCTTCAAATGAATGACAAAAATTCTTGAAAATGTGTGGATTTAATCCAGAGTTTAAACAAAAAATTAAGGCTAAAATTTTTAAAATAGTTACATTCCCTTAAAAATAATTCCAAACCTTTAATACTAAATAAATCAATGACCCTGTAAGCTTTATTAGTACAGTAAATTAATTAAAGTACACTTTAAGACAAGCAACACACGTTATATAAATGTTTTGTTTAGCAACATGTTAATATGTAGAAATGGCTGAAAAGTCCTTGAATTTGCCTTTGGTGAATGATGAGCACCCTGCAGATGCTGAACTGTGATTAGCTGTTTTCTCAACAAGTGGTTGACTCATATCCTGCAGGATTAATGTCCAGTTTTGTTTCGTGTCTGCTGCAGAACTGAAAACATGACCGTGACTCCTCCCATGCTGTGTTCCCTGCTTAATAAGCCATCGATCTTTGCAGCGTGACATTGTGTTGCGATCGCTGGTAATTAGAGAAGAGCAAAAGCTTTTCTGTGACATAAAAGAAGCTTAATTGTTGTGCAGACGTCTAAAGCTTGTTTTGTTTTCTCCAAAACCTCAATCAAAATGTTTTTTGAAAGAAGAAAAATTACTTTTTCTGAATATAAAACACGTAGATAATGAGTTCTGAGTATCTGAATTTGCTGAAAACGCTGAAACTAAGTTCTTAAAGCTAAAAAATGAAGTACAGTAGCTAAAAGAAACAGATGCTAGCTAAAGACTAAAAATAGTAAAACGTTAGCTAACAGCGAAAGTAACACCACTGATGTTTGTAAAGTAGCAAAGTTAAAGGGAACAAAATGGAAACAAGAAGCTAAAAGTAGAAAGGGCTAGCTAAAATCAGAAAAGGGTAGCTAAGTGTTAAATGTATTCGAATGTTAAGTAAAAGCTAAAGTATAAAAGTATCTAAAATGCCAAAGTAACCTAAAGGTAGATAAATGTTAAAGTAGCATAAGAGGGGCTAAAAATTTTAAAAGGATGGGTAAAAGTAGAAAATGTCTAAAAACCAAAAAAGCCTAAAGATAGCTAAAAGCTAAAATAGTGTAGGAATGGCAAAAGCTAAAGAAGCAAAACGCTGACAAAGTATCAAAAGGGTGGCTCAAAGTAAAAAAAAAGATAAAAGCTAAAGTAGCTTAAAGGTAGTAAAGCTTAAGTAGCATACGGCTACTTAAAATCCTGCAACTCTTGTGTAATACAYTATGCATCACAATCAGGAGTTCTTTTCAAATTCAACACGCGTCCCCATGCATAAAAYRYAGACGAAGATTTTTATTTATTAATGGCTCAGATATGAAGCTCCTGAATGTGTCTAAGCTCATCAAGTACGCAGCAGGAGCAAATGAGAACAATTCATGGTAACATAGGTTTCCYTTTGCTCATTCACACATCAAAATGTGTTTGCATCTGTTACTGATTTAACTGGATGGTGTGGTTTATGACGTAAACAAAATGAGAAGCTGTTGTATGCTTATGGAGCAGCGCAGTTTGTTTTCTTCATAGCATTCATGCCTTTTTGAACTTTGAAGGTTGAGGTTGTAACGTGACAAAACACTGCAAAGTGTTTTATTGGGGTTTTATGGAATGACACTAAGTGGTGCATAATTATGAAGAGTAAAATGATGAATGTTTTTCCAAATCTTTGTACAACATAAAATCTAAAAAGCATTGCATTTGTTTTCAACCCTTCTTTAAACTTCTAGAACAACTTTTCACTGCAGCTCTTTAGCTATTTGCTCCTATAGGGACTCATTCTTTGCTGAACAGCAATTTTCAAGTCTTGCCGCAGATTCTCAGATGATTTATGTCTGGTTTTTGACTGGGTCGTTCTAACACGTGAATATATTTTGATGTAAATCGATTGGTTGTATCTCTGGATGGATGTTTCAGGTCGTTATCCTGCAGTGTAACAAGTTTTCCTCCAGGAACACCTTGCAGCTCCAGACCAGTGTTTCCCAAAGTTGGGGTCGGGACCCAAAGTGGGGTCCCGAAACATCAAGGTGGGGTCCTGAAAATATTTTCTGAATTAATTACGTTTTTGTCTTAGTTGTTACAAAGGATTGAGGTTAGTGTATTTAAAATGGATAAATGTAGTATAAAAATATTGTTAATATGCCCATGTTTAGTTGACCTGATACAAATGTTTATCATCCAGAAACAGTTGGGGGGCTCAGGTCTCTGCTACCGTTATTTTGTGGGTCAAAAGCTGAAAAGTTTGGGAACCAGTGCACTTTGGTTCCCAAAGTTGGGCTTGGGACCCAATTATGGGTCATGAAGCACCTTGGATAATCTCCAGAAATCAATTTAAAGGCTAATAAAATAATAGCTGATGTAATATTTTCCCTATAACTATTACAAAAAACAAAAATCAGTATAAATAAGTATTTATATTTGTGTACAAGCTGTTTAGATTGTCAAAAAGCCTGTGTTTTTAGGGTTATTAACAAAGTTCGTGTACTCAGACCAGTAATATTTGGGGTCACAAGTTTTTGCCATGGATATTTTGTGGGTCAGAACATATAAAGTTTGGGAACCACTGCTCCAGAAAACAACCCAGACTGGCTTACAGTGGATTAGTTCCTTGGTCTTCATGATGGTGTTTGATCATTTTGCACCAAACCCCTGAGTCCTTCACAGAACAGCTGTGTTTATACTGAGATTAAATCACGCATAGGTGGACTCTGTTTACTAATTAGACTAATTAGGTAATTAACTAAATAGATTTTACTTGTATGAAAGTAAAGGAGGCTGAGAAAAAATTTACTTTATTACTGCGTTTGACTTTTGGTGTATCACATAAAATCACAGTGAAATATTTTTAAAGTTTTGTGGTTTTTAGCTGTTTTCATATTTGAAAATGAACTTTTGAACCCGTAATTCTGAGTCCCCTCGAAACAGCGGTTCAGGTTAGAATGCCGAGCAGGCCCATCCCGCAGTTAGAGTCGGTGTCAGGCTGGCCCAGTTCTCACACAGACATGCCCCACAGCTTTATTCTATCCGTCCATCGACGAGCTCGATCTTTCCACCAGCGAGCCAATCTCGCTCGCTGTGTGGCTGCCGAGCGAGTACGCGATGGAGGAGATGACGCTTAAGCATTTGTTTTGACTTCCCTGTGCTGATAATGGGATTTGTGATTAAAATACAGTTTGGGGATTTCTAAAATGTTACCATCTTGTTGATGGCAGAACACTTTTATACCTCCTTTTTTTTATCTGCACACAAGTAATCTGTTATTACTTTGCTTTACAGTTAGATTCTCTTTCATCCTGCCTCCCTCTCGCCACGTTTTTAGCCCCATCCACTGTGGCCACTTTAGCCTGTTTGCTCCGTTCGGTTTAATTGATCCCCACATCATTATCTTCCTGCAGATCTGTCCTGGTTTTTTTTTCTCCTGGCAGTACTCAGAGATCCACCGAGCTCTCCGGCTGTSGTTTTATCACGCTGCATGCAATGGTGGCTGAAATGTAAACTATTTATTTCTTATCTGCACGGGCAAGCCCAGCCTGCCCATCTTAAAGCTCGCCGAGTCTCGAGTCGAAACATGGGGAGGAGGAGAAAGTGGAGCGTGGCACCGCGGTCTCCGTTCGCCACAGTAAGGGGCTACCTGGGCCCGAGGAGGAAGGGCGTGGAGAGTTTGTGCGTAAGCAGCCTGCTGGGCGTGCTCCGGTCCCACACCTGGCTGATCAGAGACCAAGACGTGGCCTTCCTCCTGACTCGGAGTTCTTCGCCTCGCTACCAGCACCGCCGAGCTCACTCCCTCTCTTTTTCTTTCTGCTCCTCATCCGCAGATGGTGGGAGCGACGACTTTGCGGACCCCCGTTCGCCCAGCCTAGACCCTCATCTAAGCCACATCGGTCAAGGTAAGCAGGTCTCAACATTTCATTGCTATCAGACGTAAGTTTTCTCATACTATTTTTGCTAAAAAAAAAAAAAAAAAAAGCTACTGCCACACCAAATTAATGGTAAAACTGACTGAGTTAGTGTTGGGTGATGTTGATTAACTGTAGTGGCCATCTTGAATTAGGTTGACTCCAGATGTTTGAGTTGTAGAGATACACTTAATGATTGTTTTATTAAACTCATTCCAGTGGTTCTGGAGATGTGTTTCACTAACCAACAGGCAGTGTTGATATTTGCATTTAAAGCCAAAGTTTAAAGCAAAATTGTAACGAGTAGCACTTAGGGCAGAGGTGCCCAAAGTGGGGCCCGTGGGCCAAATTTGGCCCGCCAAGCCATTTGATTTGGCCCACTAGCAGTTATCCTGGTTACTAGATTGTAATCTCCTGTTTTATGTAGAAATACTATTTGGACTTAGTCTTTTCAAACATTGGTCCAACTATAGGTACAAGGAGCTCTAGTCAGATGAACTTAAAGTGTATCTTACCCCCCTGTGAAAAGATAACTCCGCCCCAAGGCGAAATTTGAAAAATGCATCAAAGTGGGTAGGGGAGGGGGGGTTAGAGAGCGGAGGTGTGGCCAGGACGAGAGAACGTGACAGCCTCTGCTGAGCTGTCCGCCTCACAGGACAGAGGAGTGGAGCGCTCTGCGACAGCCTGACATAAAAAAATAAAAGCATACAGCTGCAGCTGCTCACAAGATCACTAGTTTAAATCAGGAATAAAAGTGTTGGGTCTTGTTTGACTGAAGTTTGGTCTGTTAGGGCTGCAGCTGTCCCCCTGTCTTTCTGCCTTTTTTTTACCCTCCTCCCCTCCCGCTGTGCAGGACGTACTGCTGGTGTGTGTGTGTG